CTATCTTCTAATAACTTTAAATAATAATTAATAGATTATTATACCTAATAACTATATAACTAGTTAGATAGTAACTAGTTAGATAGTAACTAAAGTAGTACCTAATATTAAAGATAAAATATTAGTCTCTTTTCTCTATAAAGATATCTTTATTAATTATAAAGTATTTAAAGAACTACTTTTAGATAATAGTATTAATATTTTATCTTAAGTTATAGTAATCTATATTAAGATTCTTAAGATAAAGTATTAAATAATAACTCTAAATTATCCTAGAACTAATAGTAAGAATAAAAAATATAAATAGCTTATTAGAAAAGATATTAATAAAGTATTTTATAAGTAAACTAATATATTTATAAGATAAATATCTATCTCTAGCTATTTTTATAGTATAAATATATATCTATATCTAAATAAAGCTATTACTATTCTACTTTCTCTATAATATATATTTATTATTATCTAGTTATCTATAACTTAATTAATTAATAGCCTAAGATTAAAATATAATTTTAATATATAAACTATATCTAATCATTAGTTAATAAGATGTCATTAGTATATATAATTAAATAAAATCTAATTTAAATAATAATATAAAAGAATCTTAACCAGTATCTTATTAATAGATTTATTAAAATAAATCCCCTCAGAACTTCTAAAGTAAATAATTTAGTCTATATTAAATTATTTAATTATATCTACTTAGTATATATACTATTATAGAACCTAATAAATATATAGTAATAAACCTTATTAATTACTAATAATTAGTAGAAGCTAATATTAGTAATAGACGCAAGAAACTATATATATTAGCTATACTAACTAATTATAGAAGGTAGAGTTATTAATCTATATATCTATTAAAAGTATATAAAGTACTTAAAGAGTTTAATAATCTCTTATTCTTATATAATAAACTTTCAAAGATAACTTAAAGAATTAGTAATTAACTAAATATTTAAAAGTATATTTAAAATAGATAGATAAGGGTACCTTAATAAAATAATATACTTAATAAATAAGATTTTAAGAATATATTAGTAATATATTAATAGAAATTAGCTAATTTATATACTATTAAAAGGAGTTAACTCTAAGAAGTAACTAGAGTAAAATTAACTTAATTTTTTTAAATAATAAGCTAAGTAAGGGAATAATATATAATCTATTAAGAAATAATTAAATCTAAAGAGATACTAGTAGAAGAGATATAGACTTTAATAAATTATTTATAACAGTAATTCTAGATTATTAGGGGTAATTAGAGAATAATAAATTATCTAGTATTATAAGAATATTACTATAGAAAGAATTTATTATTTATTTAGCTAATAACTAATTACTTAAGTATAAATTAGTTAAAGAAAATAATAAAAGAAACTCTAAGAAAGGTAAATAATATAAACTATAATTAAAGCCTTTACTCTTTCTTTTATATACTTACTACTTTATCCTAGAATTTAGCTTTAGAATTTTATTTTAGTTTTTCTTCTTTCTCTATAGCCTACACTGCCTTAATAGGGTAATTAATTTATTTTTTAATAATATTAAGGAATTTATATAGATCTTTATAAATAGTATTAAGTATCTTAAGATTATCCTATATTAACTTTAAAATTAGCTTAGGTATAACTTTACTATTAAGTACATTTTTCTTTACTCTCTTTAAAGATAGAGTAGGAGAAGCTTTAATAACTTAACTAATTAGCTATTTTCCTTTTATAGTAGTTATAGGATTTAGGGGAGTTATAGATAAAGAATAAGAACTAATAAATAATATATTACTTAAATAATAAAGAAAAGAAACTACCCTAAATTTATTAGCCTAGAAGAACTATATTAATAAAGATTAATAGTATAAGGGTTAATTACCTTACTATTATTATTTTTAAAAGAAGATAGTATACTAGTCTTTAATAAAGTAGTAGAATTATTAGGAAGTATATACTGGAAATAAGAATATCTTAAAGAATAAATAATATTTATAAAAGATAAAATAATAACCTCTAGAGCAGCTTTTAAAGAAGATTTAATATCTCTTTTAGATATCTTAGTAGATCTACTAGCTTCTTCTTTAGGCTTAACTTTTTAAGAGGCTATTTAGAGATAGAATTACTACTATTAATAGTATTTAGACTACCTAGCTATAGTATTATTTAATACTATATTAATTAGTTAAGAATAATAAGAAATAAAAGGAAAGAGTAGATAGAACTTCTTACTTATTAAGATTCTAATCCTAGTTTAAGTCTTTTCTAAGATAGAATTTATATTAAGATCTATAATTATTCTGGATATAATTTATATATATACTAGAAAAGAGAGTATAATACTTTTTATCTTTACTAATATACTCTAAAGAAGAAATATAAGTTTAAAAAGTTCTAAAATTCTTTAAATATTATATATATAGTATATTCTACTTAATACTATATAGTATTAAAGAAGCACTATATTAGAATAATAGGAAGATTTAATTATTTAATAAACTTTCTTATTATTATATATAGTCTAATTAAGTTTATTATAAACTAGATTAAGAAGTATTATATAAGAATACTGTAGCTTACTTAAAGACTAACCTATTTCTTATTCTAAATTAATAATAGTACTATAATAATTAGGAATTTATAATAATATTATATCTAGAGAGGATAATATAATAATAATAAGAGTTTATAATAGAGTAATTTAATTAAGGAATAGTAATAACTATAATTATTTATTAATTTATAAAAGAAGTAAATTAGCTAGAGGATAAATTATTAAGGCTCAAACTAGAAAGTATATTATATAATAAAATATAAAAAAGTTAAGAGTATATATACTAGAGGAATAGATATTAGTAGTAAAAGCTTACTTATTTATCTATACTTATAAATAGTAATATTTACTATAATTCTTTATATACTACTTAATACTTACTAATTACTTGGGTAGCTTATATATTAATATTACTAAGTAAATTAACTAAATTATACCTCTTATATATTAAATAAAAAATATACTAAGTTACTATTATTCTAATTTTAAAGCAGAGGTATAAAGAATAATTTAGTTAATTCTATAAATAATTAATAAATAAATAATAATCTCTAATTACTAGATTAGATAATTTAATATATCTTAGTAATAGTTAAATCTAAGGTTATATTATAGGTGCTAACTTAATCCTATAGATAATTACTAACTAAGAACTCTAATAATAAATAAAGTTTAATCTAGATATAGAAGGATATAACATTAATAGATATATATATAAGTTTAATAATATCTATAAAGGATGCAGTAATATCTAGTAGTTATTATTAATTATATATCTAGTATTTAGACCTCTCTATTCCTTATAATTTAGGTTAAAATATAAAAGGAACAGGAGCCCCTTAATATCAATAAGGCATATATAGGGTGGCTGCTGGCCTACCCCCCTACTCTCACATGATTCAAAGGCTCCCTCCCTACTGCAATGAATGAATATCCATGAGAACCTTGCGCTGGGCTGCAAAAGGTTAACCACTGAGGCAAAAGACCTACTATGATTGACCCCTATGGTCAATCATGCCCAGCTTCCATTTATATATCTTTAAGGCTTACTGGATGCCTCTAACAATATCCCAATACTGTAAAAAATAAACTAGATATATACGTATTATATAAATATTACTAGTTTGTAGAGAAAGATACATATAATTATTACTATTCTTAATTTAACTTACTAGATAAAGATATAAGTAAAAATAATAAAAGTAGGAGATTTAAAAATAATATAAGTTCAAAATTAATATAGTAATAACTTTTAACAATAATTATTTATAAATATTACTTTATTATTCTTTAAGATCTAATATACTCTTTTATATTTCAAAATACTAGCTTAATAAATAAGTATACTCTTAATAATAAGTTTAAAGATATTTTATATTTAGAGATTAAGAAGTATTATATATCTATTATAATAAAATTTATCTTCATTTTAGATTTACAATTTAATATTACTCTACAGACTAGTATAAGAATTCTTATTTCCTAATAGGAGTCTTACTAGATTTTTCTAGTAAGATAGCAACTCCTAATCAATTATAATACTAACTAGAACAGGATTCTTATTATATTGATCAATTTAATAGAACTTCCTTATTTTTTATAAAAGGAAGGGAATTATAAAAGAAAGAAGGATAAGGAGGAAATAAGAACCTCTTCTTATTCTAACTTATAGGAACTCCTGTAGTAGTTAGGAATTAGGATAGGATCTTGATAACTAGGGATAAGATAGGTCTAGTAGTTGGAATTCCCATTCCCATCCCATCCCTTCCTAACAGCCAGCCTAGTTGTAGTAATAGTATTTATTAATGTCTGAAACAGGGCACTTTATGCCCCTGACCTCCCATAGGGACATGCAAGGCTATGGAATCATATACATGAAGTATAAGTGTATGACCCTAGAAATCAAATCTTGCCTGGGGCCGTGGGTGAACTTACTAGTTGATTTGATTCACCCCGACCTGTGGGCTAGTTAAGGTGGTTTAATGCCTGAAGGCTGTAGGGAATTGGAGTGCTCTCTGAGGAGCTACATGACCTTAAGGGTCTTTAATGTGGCAGGCAATGTCGAGTTGGTAACAGCATTTGAACCTGTGACCCGTAGTAGGGACAGAAAGATAGTGGGGGGTAGTGGGGGACTATCTTTCTGAATCCCTAGGAGGTGGCGTTCTAAAACTACGCCAGCCTGGCCACTCTGTAGAAAGGGCCCAAGGTCGGTTGAAAAGCTTTGACATGATCAATTGACCGTACACTCAATTAGGTGGGGAGCATCGGCTCAGACAGTAGGAATGTACAACAACCTATGTAGTAGTAGATAACCTAAATGCATGAGAGTTGCCAGATTTGGGCTAGTGTCTAATATGCATATGCATCCCATTTCAAAATCCCCTCAACCAACTACTCGCCATACCCATAATTACCAGTCAAATCCAGCAAAAGGGTTCGCAGTACCAATGGCATCGATGTTACAAGCAATCAGGTATAGCCGTGGCAAGTTAGCCATCATTGACCAGCTACAGCTCCCATACGTGGAAAAGTTCATTACAATCCAGACATCTGAAGAAGCCTGGCATGCAATCAAGGAAATGAGAGTCAGGGGCGCACCAGCCATTGCAATAGTTGCAGCCCTCGCACTCGCGTCAGAGTTGCATACACTCATAGTCCACGATAAAATATCATCAGGAGCAGAGGAGGTGAGACTTTTTATTAGGGAAAAGTTGGATTACCTAGTGAGCAGCAGGCCCACTGCTGTCAACCTCAGTGATGCTGCTCGCAAACTGGAATCAACCATATCAGATCATGCAAATATCCCTGGTGCAACTGGGCGTAACGTTGCGGAGGCTTTCATCTGCGCCGCAGAGGATATGATGACCAAGGACCTGGAGGATAATATGAAGATTGGTAAAAATGGTGCTGAGTGGATTATCAAACATGCACTTGCAGCGCACAAGTCAACAGCTACAGTTCTGACGCATTGTAACACTGGGTAAGCATTTACCTTGATGATTKTATTACCTGAGTACTGAATGGATTTTGTTAGCTCGCTTGCAACATCGGGCTATGGAACAGCCCTGGGCGTGATACGAGCGTTGGCTTCAAAAAAGGCCCTGGAACATGCATATTGCACCGAGACTAGGCCTTACAACCAAGGCAGCCGCCTGACGGCTTTCGAACTTGTCCATGACAAACTTCCTGCTACATTGATAACCGACTCGATGGTAGCTGCACTGCTTGCTAATACGAAAGCTGGAGTGGACGCAATCGTGGTTGGGGCAGACAGAGTGGCAGCCAATGGAGATACAGCCAACAAAATAGGTACATATGGTTTAGCCGTACTAGCCAAATACCACGGCGTGAAATTCCTTGTTGCCGCTCCACTCACGACAATCGATCTCGGCACTAAATCGGGTGAAGATATCGTCATTGAGGAACGGCCAGCAGCTGAAGTCACCAAAATCAAAGGGCCTGTCGAAGGACAACATTCAGCTGATATCGTGAAGTTGGAAACTGTGCACATTGCTGCAAAGGGTATCAACGTCTGGAATCCAGCATTCGATGTTACTCCCTCGACACTCATCGACGGCATCATCACTGAAGTCGGCGTCATCGAAAGGGAGACAGATGGTCATTTTCACCTGGAGCAGCTATTCATGGATAACTCGGCTTCATGAAAATCTGCCTTTGTATGATGACTGCTATTGCCATCATAATCCTGGGACTTGTTTTTGTCCTCAACGGCAGCAAGAAGCTTGTCCAACTGGGATTCCAGGTTTGTCAAATGGTCTTCCAGTGCTTCAGCTGCTTTTTCACCACTGTAAGGGTCAGTCAAACTCTGTCGGATTCGAGTCTCAGGTGGAACCACCTACGAAGAGATGTCTTTCAGAACCTGGATATTGTTAGCACTTGTGCTGGGTCTATATGATAAATCTTCCAGGTTCATGTGCCATGGTCATGCAGTAACATTGTTCAAGGCTTCATTTCATGAATACGATAGCGCAGATAATATTATAGAACTTACTTGCATATAGTTTGGGGACAACCCATCTTTGTTTGCTTGAGACATTGTGATAATATTGGCTAGTTGTATCACAAGTGTATTTATGGAGATTAGTCTAATACAAAGTAGAATGTGCTGGGCTTTACTATGTAATTAAGGAATAATTAGTAATGTATTAGTTAACATGGCATGAGAGATTAAGTTTTCAGAGTCACTGCTACTGGCGCAATTTTCCATAGTCTCTAGAGCCCCGATGATTCAATATAGATGCCAGGCTGCCATAGCTGTACCCGCAAAAAAAGGGGCCATAATATTATGTATAGGACCAGCTAGTTTGAGTTTCATTGACTTCTTTTTAGTAATGTACTGGTGGTCTGAATTCTGTCAATTAGCAATAAGTATACCCAGCATCACTACACCAGCTGGTGCCAACTTACGAGCTAGTCAGCTAGAACTACTAGACTGTGTAAATTTCAATAGGGTGCAGGTCCCTACATACCCTAGAGACCGTGGGAAACAGAAATAGGAGGCACAAGGTCTCCACGGGGCGGAAGGGAAGTATAATCCCGCACTATGCGGAGCTGACAACAAGAGGAAAATGAAAGTCATCCCAGGGGTTTAACTGATTTGGCATGGGGTGTTTACTTAATATCCCAATCTCTTCGCCATCTGGCATGTTCTCTTGTCTTTGTGCTATCATTGGATTGCTACCGTTCTGGACTGCCTTTATGTGGCTAAGTGGGTATAGACTACCACTTTAGGGGGTCCTTACCCCGCGTTTTACTATCATGTATGAGGTCATGCGGTGTTCTAGCTAAAGCTAGATCCTATAAATTGAACAACAAATCCGAGTTCCAACCCTACAGCTGGATTGAGCATCACTGTTCGCGTATCAAATTGGTTCAGTGGGATTCTAAATATACCTGGCTGTCACCCAAGTCTGGATTTGCTGTTGTATTCATTCAGGGCTAGATTCCATATACTAATCTGTCCATAATAACCATTCCGACCCGCTGAAATTATCTGTGTTCGTTCTTAACAGAAACCTTAAAAGGGACTCCAGGTATGCCCAGGTTACTTACGGTCAACACGATGCAGGTGGTCTGAATACCTGTCTTTTGTTTGCCGCATTCAAACACAACCATAGCCCTCACCATGCCTTGGTTCGGTATCTCTGTTTCACTGATGATATTATCTTCTAGTGTACTGCCCAATCCGGTCCAGTCCGATCCAAGTGCCCGCTCAAATAGCTTATCCATAATAGTAAGCGAATCTCAACACACAGATCCACTGATGAAAGAAGAGATCTGTTGGAATATTGGCTACCCATTGGCCAATGTGATGAGCTATACTAATGCAAGTCTCAGTGACGCGTTCACACAAGCTCAACGGCCGGGATCACTCAGGACCTAGTGATGGAATGGCAGCCTCACTTGAGCATATCCCTCGGTATTTTGCGAAATCCGGACCCGTTGATGCTGATCCTAAAAAGACGAAAAAGGATGGAGGAGGAAAGGGAAACTGGTTGGTGCCCCTGTCATATAGCTTCAACTGTCCTTTTATATCATGTGTCTATATACGAGAACGCCGCCTAACAGTGCGCAAGGGGCCGCTCTGGTGAGGAAGTTCAAGACTATGGTTATACCTTCACAAACGCTCGTCGCCATTCAAACAGCAGTAGCCAAGGCATGGCAGGATTTAGAACGAAGTTCGAGACCATTGAACCAGATCCAGTCTTCGAGCATCACCTCCACGGTCCTCGGAATAACCCCATCGAGCATGGTGGCTCGATGATCCACGACGGAAATGAAAGTGGTCAAACTAACAGCAATGACATCTAAATCCAGAGGGGACTGAACCTGTGATAACCTGCCATTAGTGCCGATATCCTGTTGTGAAGGTACCATAATGGGATTAACCAAGTCGGATGGACCGGTACTGGATTGAGTAGTGAAATGAAAGGGTATAAGATCAAATCAATACAGACCGTCTTCCTTTACGTTCTTTATAGCGTTGCTAGATGTTCATTACCCATCCAGAATGGTTGCAAATTCTGGCATCTGTAATCCGAGAGCTCGGTAGTTCGCAAATCTAAACAGACAACGGAGCATCAGTGAACACAGAATACCTACAATTTCAAAGCAGACTGCAGCCCGTGTGTGAATACAGCCCCAAGGCTATCCTATAATAAGATCGTTCTCTCACGGGATGAGAGTTTGAGCCCGAAAATAGCAAACTTATATCATTTATACTGCCCAACCATTGAACATTAGTATCATGCAGCTGTGTTTATCCCTAAGTATTGGAGAGACTGAGAAACATGATTAAAGCCACGATAACTGCGCTCTTGTAGATGGAGTTTCTGTCTCCAAATGGTGAGCCTGTAGACCATCGCTGAACTGCATCATGGCGCCAGTTGGATGAGTAGCTGAAGATGTAACCGCCTCCTCCGCAGAGATAAGGAGTTTCCTGTACAAGAACTCGAGTTTTCCCTCTTCAATCCGTTGGCGAAGTATATCATTCTCCCTGCTCAGATCCCGGCAAATCCTGCTACGCTGCTCTTGAGGGTATGACGATAAAATAGATTCGAGATCTGACTCGTTAAGCACTACATCCAGCGGCGAGGATGGTACATAGAGTGGACGGGGATCTGCATCCGCGCAGTGCTCTGCGAGTTCAGTTAATCAGTATTCAGATAATCAAATCCGCGAGATATGCTTACTATCTCCTAAACAGAGAGTGAGTGTGCGAAGAAGGGAGACACAGTGGATGTGATCTTCAAATTCACGATCTGCGTTGGCTACATTTCTCTCCAATTGCCAATCGTCTCTGATCATGCATCTGCGCCACACAAGCTTCTGCAGAGGGACATGGTAGAGCGGACCATCCTGGGTGGAAGAGTTCAATCGAATGACCCGCAAAGCCAAGTAGAATTCCTTGCCAACGAATTCATTTTGGGTTTCCTCCGAAACCTGGCCACCATCGATCAGTGTCAACAGATCGACCAGCTGGTCAACCCTGAGAGTTTGCCGGCTGATCACTTTAGTGAGCAAGAAAGATAGTACTTCGTGGAGCGACGGTGAGTCATTCACAAGTTTTCCGAACTGGTCAATAGCTAGTTCAGTTTCAGCCTTTTGATCAATTGCGCCCTGCAACGCTGGCATGACATAAGCATAGACCACTTCTTGGACAGCGTCTAATTCAGCCAAGTCCTCTAGGCGTTTGATCTCAATACCAAGCATGGGCTTGCCAGTTGCACTGCTTTTTTCCCAGGCTGCTAGCGTAGCAAGCTTTGACAAGGACAACTCAACGCGATGACACCAGAGATCTGATTCACGCTCAAGGGCCAAGGTCTCCAACGACCGAGCAGCCGCTTCATAGTCGTCCTCACCGATCGCATCGTTAATCCAGCAGAGCCGAGCGTAGGACGGATTTTTATGCAAAAAGCGGTTGATGAAAGGTTGAAACCTTCTCATCGTGAACAGAATCTCTGATTGACCCATCGATATTTGGCGAGAAAAGAATGCATCAGCCCAGGGTTCGCCGAACTTTTCGAAGTACGTAGCTATTCTCCTACTGACCTCTTCAGAATCATAGTTGGTGACATTTCCGGCAGGTTCCGAGTCTGCCAATGTCTGATCCTGAAGCTCAATAATGAGTTCTACCAATGCACTCATATCCCGGAATTTCTCCGCCAGAGAAATCGCGTCTTCTAGCTGCCCAATGCCAGCCAACTTKAATAGCTGCCACCTGCGCTGCTTGGTATGTGTTTGCTCTAGTTCAATGCCCTCATCGACTGATTTGGGATCCTCCTGGGAGGAAAGCCACCTGACTCTTTCGTAGTGCATTAAACTGAGCACACGAAGTTGGCGGGCACTGTTTTCCGCAATTTGCCGGACGAACTGCTGCTCCCGCGGATCCAAAGAAGTTGTTGTTTGTTGGGTCCATGCCCTACACGTATCGAGTTCCAGATCCAAAAGATGTCCCGTTTCAAGATAAACGATACCCTGAGATGTCCAGAATTCAGAGAGACCATCGTAGCCAGACGTCAACACGCCGTCCTCTATGTGCTCGTCCTCAAGCCCGTACTGACGAGCGTGCTCATCACGAAACCGAAAAGCTGTCTCCAAGACGGCCAAGGAAAGCTCACTGGCTTGCACGATTTCTTCTAATACCCTCCGCCCCTGCTTCGTAGAAATACCCTTCTGGAGTTTGAGCGCTTTGAAGATCCAGGGAATAATATGTTCCATTCGAAACGTGTCAAAAAGGAACCAGTCGCGCACATTGTCTTTGTCCTCCTGATACTCAGATTTCGTTTTGAATTTTTCATTCATCGACCCAATCACATGAGCCAAAAACGTGTTTCCTTGGCCCATTGCCCGCCTCGCCTTATCTTCAAGCTTCCACAGGGCCCTTTGTGCAGCAAGTTTCTCTGCACCCCGCAGTAGCTCGTACCGGGTTTGACGACACAAAGGTTTTTTATGCTGCAGTAAGAGACTTGCAAGATCATCTAGAGCTTTTGCTCGTAATCTCAAGTTCTGATCTAGAGTGACCGACGTAGCGGGAATATAATGAGAGGTAGACCGCAGCAATTCTCCGCAAATTTCAAGCGCAGCTTCCTCAATCTCTCGGGAGCTGAAGTCGAAGCCGCCTTTGTCAGTTAGATCGAGTGGA